GGAAGGAAAGGGGGTGTGGATGTACATTTTTGTGTGTATGTGACAGTGAGGTTTTACAAGTGTACAGTACTATCTTCTCAAGAATTTCCAGCTGACCTAAATAGTTCTGGTTTTTGTAGAAGTATGTGCTGTGTGTTAATGAGTTCCAGCAAACCGCTGTAGTATCAAAAGGAAGTGATGACATAATGAGGAAACAGGACATCCCCTTGAATGAGACGACTCACTTTTCCACTGACAGTATTGTGGTCCTCTCCTTTCTGCTGGATTCCACCTATGTATGTCCTAACAGTTGGCTGTGTCCGCTGTAGGAGATTTCAGTGGCCGCCTGCTTCCCATTGTCATATCATTCCTGCCCCACTCACACTCAGCATCCTGTTGGGCTTCCTGCTTACCAGCGACAGAGTCAGAGTGAAAGGTATAGACCAAAAAAAAAAAGCTGGAGGAACAGGAGGTCTGGTGGAAGTCTGAGTCGAGCACTGAAATTGTGTCAAAGTACTGAAACTTACAAATCTGAACAATTGATGTGTGTGTTGCCTGGCGTTCCCATGGCGAACTCCACTGGGAGCAGCTTATCTGCACTCTGCTGCTCAGGAAAGGGTGTGTCACTGGGTTTTCGATGTTTTTGAGTGTAACGATGAAGGATGATGCTGTTGTGATTTTTGAAGTTTTTCAACCACCAGGAGGAAGCTCTAATGGTGAACTATATCAACATTAGTGATTCTGAAACTTTTTCTGCAGTGCCCTCGTTTTGAGGATAAGACTATTGCTCCCCCTAGCCCCCCCTCCTCCTATTGCTTCAATATTCTACTCAACTTTATTTCAAGCATAGTGATTTGGCAATTATTTTTTGACACAACTAAAGCAGGAATTTGGGGACTAGGTATGAAAGGTGGAGTCCTCTGGTGGTAAGCAGCAGTCCTACCACCAACATACTGCTGTTCTCATTAATAATCAATTCATACATCACAGCAATCTCCTCACTGTTGGGAAAAATGAATTTCATGTGCCTTTTTGAGACCCCTGCTACAACTCTGTTGCCCTGGGGAGGGTCCTTCCCTCCACTTTGTGAACGCTTTTCACTATTATATAATGTTTGTGAACATTTTATCTGAGGAGCTGACTGTAGCTGATTCACTGGAATGTAATTGTTGTGACTTGGTGGAAAAAAGTAATTATTTTTAGTGAAGGTTCGCACGGACAGTGTTTTAACAAATGTGTACTTCCCCACGATGTCATAATTCTATTGTGAACTGCTTCTGTGCTGGAATACACACAGTTGCATCACCACCAGCCATCGCTTTAATGACAACAATGCATTCGGTAAAAAGGCATTAAATTAAGACTGGTACGTGATGATGGGTTTATTGCGATGTACTAGAAAATGGAAGTCTTGGGTTTTTTTTTTTTAACTTAACTTGTGAAAACCACAGATATGTTGCTGAATCACTCGGTGTGTGTGCATGTGGCTTAACAGTAATTTAAAAAAGGTGTGACATGGGCTGTACTTTACACTAAATGTTTTAGAAAGCAGCCTAACCTTCAAACATCAGTCTAAGTTTCTTTAGTTTCAGTAATCTGAGCACCAGAGGTTGTTGTTTTCCTTAAGATCTCTCACAATACTCATCTGAACATGGACACCAAATTAATTAAAAAATTATAAATGTGCTGAAAATCAGTACACCAAAAACAGCCAAAAATATTGTCAAAAGTATAAAAACAAAAATACATTAGAATGATTAGCCAACAGTTGATTAAGTGTCCTACAGATCCTGCCACACTGCCACCTGTGGGACAGTAAGGTGGCTCCTTATGATCTACTTTTTACTTTGGTCTAGTACTACTATTACGTTACAATACATTGAGCAGACACTTTTATCCGTGTGAATTTTTTAATGTGAACCTCAGAAAAAAAATCAGGCTTTTTATAAATGAGTTTTCTTGTGCAATGAGGAAAGCGAGAGACCGAAACCATCTACGTTAACAGGAACTCTGTTCTATAAACATCACTGTGTGAACTTATTCCTCTTATTGTAAAGAGACAGAGAAGAGAAGAGCAACAGTTGCTGAATGACCGCTGACAAATATTCAAGTATTTTCTCTAATGAGGAATGCAGTTATCTGCTGTAGGAGCGTGGTGAGAAAGTCAGAGATGGAAGGGTGTAGTCCAGGAGGAATAAACAGCAAACAGAAAGGAAGATGTGTTTTGTGTGTGTTTGTCCCTCTGCAGCTGCAGCTTTCTGTATGTGTGTGTGTGTGTGTGTGTGTGTGTGTGTGTGTGGATGGACTCTATCCTCACAGTTTCCAGGAAAAGGGGGGAGCCATCAGAGGGGTGGACAGGAAGCTCTAACAGGGCTTGCTTCCTGTCGCTCTCCTGATGGTGACCCGATAGTATACAAGTGTGTGCGTGTGTGCAAATATAAAACTGTTGCATATTTTTCTTGAGGTGTGTGATCCAAGCCCGTAATAAATTGTGTTGTGCTTTAAAGAGTGGGAGGAAAATCAGGAAAAAACCACCGGTGCTGCAGCTTTTGTTTTCTGCAAATGAAAACGAATTAGACTTTGTCTCGGTGCCTCACTGCCATAATCTGTATTGTTCTTCCTGTGTGTGTGACTTCCCTTACATTCCTCAGTAGGTGGGGAGGCTGCAGCCCAGAGTTTGGGCAGCTTCATCTGTTGCACATCTGAATTCCAGGGACTGGCCACTCAGCTTTAAGCATATCTGTGATTGTAAATCTATTAAATTTCTCCCCAAAATATGTATCATAACAATGGATCAGAGTGATGAGTGAAAAGGAAACTCAACTCTTTCTGGGCTTGTGATTTCACCTGGAACTGAAAAGGTTGTAACAGATTGACTGGAGCCTCATGATTTCTATATTTTGTTATTTTAAATTTAGCAGTTTTGAATGTAAACTAGTGTTTACTCTGCAGGCATGTTTTATAGACGACGTGGCCTTCGTCGTTGCATTATCTAAATAAAAACAAGATTTAGAAAATCATGTAGGTGCAATATCAGTCCATGAAAATGCAAGCTTTAAATAATCTATGCTACACTAGCTCTGTTTTCTTCTCTTTTCTCTCTGTGAATTGGACAAATCCAATCATCCCTCCTCATGTACGCTTGCTCTATAAAATGTTACACTGACGTTGTGATGTTCACACACCGGCCGATGCCCTGCGTGACACCCAGTTCATATTTGGGGTAAATCTAAATATTAACAGTTGTTCCTCGTGACTGCCATACTATTGCCTGAACCTGTGGGTCGTGCTACCACATGACACCCACCCACTCGTTCCTTCACTTTGATAACCTATGCATTAGCTAAAACCTAATTACTCGCTACAAAAGAGAGAAGATTTAGACGCAGGGCAACATGTCTGCACATGAACACAGCTCTGGAAGAACTTTAAAAAAAAAAAGTTCATACTTTTCAACGATTTTAGAATGATTTTATAGACTCTCTCTCTCTCTCTCTCTCTCTCTCTCTCACCACCCAGTTATATATTGTGATGGAATCATACTAATAGACATAGTACCTGTCCTAATATTTTTCCTAAACCTGAAGTATACTTGCTCGGTGGTGGAGATCAGCCTTTAGGACCAACTCAGGACTCACAACAACAACAACAAGGACCACTGCAAGGACTCCTTGAGTCGTCCTTGCAGTGTTTTTTTCCCCGTTTTGTTTCTGTCTCATTTCCTCCTGTTGACACACAGTTCTGCGTTGTCCTGTTGAAACACTGTTTGGCACAGAACTGCATGTCAAAATTGCATCTGTGAGTGCCGTGACACAGTCTGTATGAAACATGTTTTACCCGACCACACAAATACAGCATCTTGACCATAGTGTGGTGACTCTTTGCTGTGCAAAAAGGGAAGTGGCTCACCTCACACTTCTTACTCTGTCTCTCACTGCCATTTCTTATACAAAGCTGTCTCTGACTTTGCCTTCACATTTCTCTTTATTCACGCTTTAATGCTCTGCAGCCGTTCACTCACATTCTCCTCCACCTTCTGCTTTTCTGGTTCTCTGCCACTCACTCTTTCTTTTTGCCGTACTTTCTCTTCCAAGACCTTGTCATTCACCTCTTCCCCCTGTTTTTCTCTCTTTTTTTTTTCTCCTCCAGTGGCGATGGTGATTGACAGATGATCTGACCGAGGAAGACATCAGGTGAGGAAAAGTTAACTTCTCCTTCTTACCTCCACTCTCTGCTTCTCATGGTTCTTTGGGGGAAGTTGAATTTTATTTTAAGCTCCCTTTACAGTTCTCTTCGGTGCGTTTCTTTCACTAGGCGAGATTGAACCCTGTCTGTTACTGAATTGTCACTTTCATTCTCCTACCAGCTTGTCTATGAACTCAGAAAGTTGAATTATTTATTACCTTGCTGTACCGTTTGCAAAGCTGCTTTCCTTAATTAGATCTAATATTAAAGTATGTGTATTTTCTCCAAAAACATTTGAATTTTTAAATGACCTGCAGTAGTAGTTCTCCATAAATTTCACATCATTAAAAAAAACTGATTTGATGAGGAATGTAGTTTAATTTACTTCAGTCCACTGTTCTGACTTTGAAAGAACTTTTTTGTTGATCCACTATGGTAATCTGATAAAAAAAATGATGTTGCTATGAAACAGTTTGAAAATCTATAAACAAACTTTGTATAAGTAACAGATTCTAGATTAATATGTAAGAATTATGGGTTGGTTGTTCCCTTCTCTCCACGACACTGTGTTATAAATGGCCTTGTCCATGAATTGAGTTCACTCATGTGATGTGAATGAACAATTATATATAAAAGGAATCATTAAACTTGGTCAAACGTTTTCCACAGGAACTATATTTTTAACTCTGAACCAAATGGAGTGGAAAAAAACAGTATAACTGAAAAACATTCCTCTTCTTCCTTCCTGTATTCTGTTTCCTTTCGTAGACACTGTCTCTGTGCCAGTTATCATGGGGTGTACCTGTTGCAAGCAGAAAAAGTCTGCGGCGGTGGCGGCGGCGGCGGCAGCGGCGTTGGACGCCACAGACCTGTCTCCTAACAATGTAGACACAGGGTTGTCTCCTGTCTTCACCCAGGATCGTTACTGTCCTGACCCCACCCCCGGTATTCCAGACTTCAATAAGGGCTTCCCCTGCAGCTTCCCCAACACCACCACCCATCAGTGGCCTGGGAGCACAAGTAAGACCCGCCCCCTCCTCACAGCCAGGTTCAACAGAGATGAGGAAATTCAACTACGTCACAAGTTTATATCATTAACACAATATTTACCAACTGAGACTCTTACTGTACTGTGCTGTCTGAGGTACAGTTGTACTACAGTATACCATACTGTACTGTAGTATACCACAGTATGCTGTCCTGTGCTATAGCCATACTTGAAAAATCCAAAAATATAGAAGTGTGTGTTGTGTATGTCCATTCTTGTTTCCAGGTGGTGGCGTCACTCTCTTCATAGCTCTTTACGACTACGATGCTCGGACAGAAGACGACCTGACATTCCAGAAAGGAGAAAAGTTCCAGATCATCAACAATACGTGAGTACATACCAGCTAAATACAAACGTGTTTGCGTGTGTCCGCTGGAAATCATCATCAGTGTGACGACAATAAAGACACACGTTGACCTGGAAACGCTGTGCCTGAGATTCTACTCTGTAAGGATTGTGGAGATCTTTTAGACATCTCTACTGATCTGATCTCTGTGAATCCCCTCGGCTCTGGTTTTCAGTTACAAATCTATGGCTGTGGCTGAGCGTCGACCGTTACTGCTGTCTGTGGTGCTCCTTCTACTGTGACGTGGGACTTCTGTGTGTTTTTGGGTTTTGTTTTTTTCAGAGAGGGCGACTGGTGGGAGGCTCGATCTCTGGACACTGGCAACTCTGGTTACATCCCTTCCAACTACGTAGCTCCTGTCGACTCCATACAGGCCGAGGAGTGAGTAGAAAACACACACGCAGACCTCCCTAACCTTTACCTTAACATTAACCGTTACAAATCTTTGCCCTAGATTAGGGAACATATCATAAATACGTTAAAATTATATTGTATTAGATATTAGATACATTTCACAAACTACATCTTTAAGTGATGGACAGGAAATGAAAAAGAAAAAGTCTCAACCCGTGTGTGGTTGCCCTGACAACAGGTGGTATTTTGGGAAGATGGGCAGGAAGGATGCAGAAAGACAACTTCTGGGCCACGGTAACCAGAGGGGAACTTTTCTAATACGAGAGAGTGAGACCACTAAAGGTATGATGACCACACACACACACACACACACACACAGTGACTGTGTCTTTTATCTCCCCTGTCCTCACCTTCCTTCTCTCGGCCTCCTTTTAATCTCTTCACAGGAGCTTTCTCTCTGTCTATCCGTGACTGGGACGATAACAAGGGCGACCACGTGAAGCATTACAAGATCCGTAAACTAGACAACGGCGGCTACTACATCACCACCAGATCTCAGTTTGACACTGTTCAGCAGCTGGTGGAGCACTACAAAGGTGACACACAGTCACATTCATCCTCTTTTCACAGCGTTCAGAAACATTGTTTCACCGTCGACCCACCGCTGTGGAGCAGCAGTTCTTCTCAAGTGTCCTCCCGACCCACCGCTGTGGAGCAGCAGTTCTCCTTTTTTTTTACCATTATTGAACATTTATTTGCACAGTCACTCTCCAATGGGAGTGCACTTCCATTTAAGAGTGAATCACTCAAATGACTTGTATCCAAGGAATTTTTAGTCATAGCTTAATTTTTTTTAAATAACCAGTTGTTCTAAAATAGACCAAGAGATTTTAATCCACTAAAATGCATGTGCAGAAAAACAAACAACAAAAGCTGCATAAAAATAGTCGTGTTAATGTTTAGTGATATCTTGCGATGAAAGTACAAGGTTCTGTATTATTGTGTGATATATTCATTTTCAAGGCTGTGCTTGCATTTCAAACACAATTTTAGGTTTTAGAGAAAATATATGGAAAACCAACATAGTTACAGTTATAAATGTTTTTATTAAATGTATAGATGTTCATTTTTAACTAATGTAATCAAAGCATTTGAAAATAACATTTAGGTAATAATTGGCAGAAAAACTCATAATATTTGGACACAGCTGAAACAATTCTTAGCTGGTGTTTTCATGTTGCCTCATTATGAAAAGTTTTTGTTAACTTTCACTGCTGCGTAACCACTTTTACTTTTCAACTTTTCTTTTATATGTTTTTAATTACTAAGATAATTTTTAGTTTTTAGAAAGAAATGTATGAAAAATGCAGCAAATTAAATGTCCTTCCTGCAGTAGAAATGAAAACAGTTCTAGTTCTCTTCCTGCAGTAGTTCCTGTGATTCTTGTGATGACAAACTGCCTTTCTTAGTAACTTCATAATAACTAAATATTTCCTTTGAGGCTTTTTCTTACTAACTGTTGATCAGAATCAAATTATTGAAAGAAAAAAAAACAAATAACAAAGGCAGGTTTCACACCCTGGCTTCCTGTGCTATCTACCTGTCTGCATCTGCCCCCTAGTGGCTCGTGCTGATATAGCAGCAATAACTGGCTTGTTTTTCTTTTCTTGACGTCATTCTCATCACCAGTCTGTCTAATCTAGGCTCAAGTGTTGAACTTTCTTTTTCTGTATCTGTGTCTGTTCTGTGGTCTGTTGTTTTCCTCAGCCTCCGCAGGTGGAGCACGATGAAGCGTCTGCTTCTAATTGCATTTTCTGTGTCTGATTTGCTCAAAGGTCCTTGTGTTTGTGTTGTTCTCTGTTTGTCAGTTGCATAATTCATGTAGCCAACCTTTCTTGATCCTTCTTTATCTCCGCCTTTGCTCTGTGTTTTTCTTTACTCCACCTCTCTGCCACTCTTTCTTCTCTCTCCCTCTCTCAGAGAGAGCAGCAGGGCTGTGCTGCCGTTTGATTGGCAGCTGTAAACGGGGCATGCCTAAGCTGGCTGACTTATCAGTGAAGACCAAGGATATGTGGGAGATTCCCAGGGAATCCCTCCATCTGATTAAGAAACTGGGCAACGGCCAATTTGGAGAAGTCTGGATGGGTAGGATGTCATGTAGCAGTGGGTGGGAAGGTAACGGCTGGAGCACACCTGGATCAGAGAGCATCATGTCCAGCTGACACGGACATCAGTTAACATTTCAGGTGTGAAAGCACCGACTGACCGTGGGCAAAGTCTTTCTCTGTCTTACTCTGAGTGTCTGCCCTCACCTGCCGTCAGACTCCGACTCTGATTGGAACGTAAAACAGTAAAAGTCATTTTTTAAAATGTCAAAGATCCAGGTATGCAGAGCTGTTCCTCTCCTCCCCTGCTTTTGCATGTGCATGTTTCATCATCTCATCTGTGTCACTTCCTCCCCCTCCCTTCTTTCTCCCACCTCTCCACCCAACACCCTACATTTAATTCTTTCACCCTAACACACCTTCGTCCCTACACTCTACCACCACCACCCTCTTTGGCTCCATTGACCTCCACCATCAGAAAATAATAATGGGCTGTGTTATTACCTGACCACGCCCTGTATCAACTCCACCCCTCTCACCCTGGGCCTCGGGCGTGACGCTTGGGAGGTGTCCAGGGAAGAACTGGCCCTGACAAAGAAGCTGGGTCAGGGCTGCTTTGGGGACGTTTATATGGGTGAGACTGATGTTGGTGTCTGTAGTGTCTGTTGCTGTCAATGGGGTTAACAGGAATACAAGTTTAAATGTACAGTGAGTAATTGTGAATGTGTGACATAGAACTCAAACAGAAGTGAGTTGGTGAAGTGTAGGCGCCTCATCAAGTCTTCAGATGTTCCAGTACAAAGTATTCATACTGATACCATTAATACCACCAACCAATTTGTCATTGAAGCAACCAAACAGCTGAAGATGGATAAACTCTAGCTCAGCTGCCGCTGGTTCTGATGTGAGAGCGATTAACCTCCATCTCCCAGTAACATCACTCAGTCTCAGGTCATGCATGTTCTACAACCTGACACGTTTGCATGCATCATGTTTTTATTTTATTTTTTTGATGTTTATATTTGCTTTCCACTGTCCCTGAGGATGCATGCACACACACACACATACACACACAGTACATCAGTGGGCTGGAAAACAAATGTTTTGTTGTTGTACAGTGTGTCTTGTGCGCATTAATACTGACTTGTCTGCATGCCAGGCATGTGGAACGGCACCACCAAGGTAGCAGTGAAGACTCTGAAGCCAGGAACCATGTCCCCCGAGGCCTTCCTGGAGGAGGCTCAAATCATGAAGAGGCTTCGCCATGACAAACTGGTGCAGCTCTATGCCGTTGTCTCCGAGGAGCCTATCTACATTATCACTGAGTTCATGAGCCAAGGTATCTGGCTGCTTCAACTGTGACTTCCTCTACGGCATGAATCACTGCTGGAAAGTGGGAACGTTGTTGTTTTTTCCTTTTCTTTTGTTTTTTATTTTCACTTTTTTTTCAAAGGTAACAGAATATTTCTGTGGAGTTTATACCTCCTCTAACATTATACAGCACCTCACTTACATCCTTTTAAGCCAGCAAAGAGTTCAGACTAAGTTGAAAAGACACTGCAAGAATTTATAATGTGGAATCGTTGCATATTTGCATTGTAAACCACACTATGCATGCATACTTGCAGCGCTTACTGTGGCCACCATGTGGCGCTGTGGCACTGGCACTAGTTCACAGTACGTCTGTGTGGCTGAACTTACCTGAACTCACCCTTTAATGTGCTGCTGTGAAGAATCCTTTAAGCCACTGTGATGAATTGGCTGAATTCTACTGAGTTGTTGACAGAACATGGCAGAATGAACAAAAGTCATCATGAAATTCCAAATACCCAGAATCCGTTTGGATTGAAGACATTATTATTTTTTTAAACCAATATACTAATGTGTCTGTTACACATGGCCATCCTGTCTGGTTTCCCTAGAAGCAATAGACTTCGACAGTAGACTTTTTGGTCTCATTTTTTGTTTTAACACACTTTGGATTTCAAAAACAGTCCCCTCGAAATATATGTCTTATCTAACATTACCATTATTTTCTAGATAAGAACACATTGTGTGTAACTTTTTCATGTAAATCCCACTCACTCAAGTACAACAGCACTGTATTTCTCTTTAAAAAAAACGATTTTAGATGATGTGTAATGACTGGAGAATATTCATTGAAAACACATGATGTAATGCAGTTCCATACATGTCAGACCTTTTATGATGCTTCCCTGCTATCATTTGCAGGAAGTTTGTTGGACTTCCTAAAAGACGGCGAGGGCCAGAACCTGAAGCTGCCTCAGCTGGTGGACATGGCCGCACAGGTGAGTTGGAGACAGACGTAAACACACTCACATGTGGGAACAGCTACTACATTTCTATTTAAATGGTTATGATACGTGTCTGCAGATTGCGGCCGGTATGGCGTACATTGAGCGGATGAACTACATCCACCGTGACCTGCGAGCGGCTAACATCCTGGTGGGAGACAACCTGGTGTGCAAGATCGCTGACTTTGGTCTGGCCAGACTCATTGAGGACAATGAGTACACAGCCAGACAAGGTAACGTTTAACAATGTGACTAGCTGTGTGGCTAACCTTTTTTATTCAAACAATCATTTTTCCTGACAGTGTTTTCTTTTTTTTATTATCTTTATTACATGTATTCATGTATGAAAAGGTTGTACTGTTTTGTTTGTTTATTTTTCTTCTCTCATCCATCATCTTCAGTCATATTTTTTAACTTGTAGAAGATGTAAAGTACAGCTGTGTCGGTGTGTTCGTGTCTGCGCTTGGAAACAGTGATGATTTATAGATATATATATATACATACATGTATATAACCTGTCCTAATGATATAATTAAGCTTCTACACTCTGTTTCCATGGTTTCAGGGGCCAAGTTCCCCATCAAGTGGACGGCTCCAGAAGCTGCATTATATGGACGCTTTACCATCAAGTCAGATGTCTGGAGCTTTGGTATCCTACTAACAGAGCTCATCACCAAGGGACGTGTACCGTACCCAGGTATGTGACCCGTACTGTCCACCGGGCTGGAACTTAAAAAAACACTGCTGGAAAATAATTCTGAAATTGTGAATTTCACAAACGTTTCCATTTGAATGATGACAGCGTGAGTGTTGGGGAGAACACTTGCAGGTGGTCTCTCGCAGGTTTGTGTTCCTTAAAATAAATAAATAAATAAAAATAAATGTTTCTCCTCCATTGGAGTCACTGTCAAATGTTCCCCCCGAAGGTTCATACGGCTGCTGACTAAGCCTCCCAGTGCTGGTACTTCACTGTATTTGACAGTGTACTGGAGTGATTTGTGTGGTGACACTCCTGCAGTAGTGCATCTGTGTGCATTTTACCTCAAACAGCACTTAATGGTTTCCCAGAGGTAGAGAGTGGAGGCAGTCAGGGCAGCTGTCGGCCGCGGAGACCAGGGTTTTAGAGGAGATTTTTCATCCAACAAATTAAAACGCGACTCAGTTTTAAAGTCTGAAAACAGATGAATTAATTGTCCCCTGTATAACACCGGACGCACCAGTGTGAGTTCAACTAGACACTGCCAGAAGAGGGCGACGGATGGATGTGCTGAGAATTGCTGATTGAATTTTTGTTATCATGAGTAAAGTAGAAGACTGAGGTGAGTCAAACATGTCTAAGACACATTAGGGGACCAGAAAAGTATTGATAAAATGTCCTTCTTTGTAGAATTATTCTTTACCAAGTCACACCCCGGTTCTAGGGCCAGAAATCAAGTTTTCTATTTTAATGTTCTTTTGGTTTTACAAAGAAGAAGAAAAAAGATGGAGGTTTTTCTCAAAGATATTTTTTAGATAGTTTATAAAATGCATCCAGCTCGAACAGTATGATCCTGTACTTTTACAGTTAAAAGTGAAATATAAACCCAAACAGAGACTAAAAAGAAAGAGTACAAAGAAACAAGCAGAACAAATAAAGCAATTGTACATAGTTCCTGGAGATACAGATAACAGCTGGAAGTGGTTTTTTAAATAATGTATAATGAAAAATATAGTGAGATAGGATGAAGAAGTATAGATATATAGATTCTGAGCCAAAAGCGTGCACATAACTTCCTACAGACAAAGCTATGATGTGACCAATGCTTCTAAATGCTCCTTATTTTGTATAAAGTTTTCATTGAAAATACCTACAAAATTAACATTATTTTTTCTAAGGCTAAGCCTAGTCTTAACTCTAGTGAATGTTTTTAAAAAGATACAATTTCACAAGGTATTTGAAACCTTTTTTTATTTTTTTAATTTGATGCTGCTGTTCTGATGACTGATCATGACAACAGTATCTGTATGCCGTCTGTGCTCTGTTGACTCCAACCAGTGTCCCTCTCTCTTCTTCCTGAAACTCTTGCAGGCATGAACAACCGTGAGGTGCTGGAGCAGGTGGAGAGGGGCTACAGAATGCCCTGTGCCTCGGGCTGCCCCGCCTCGCTCCATGAACTCATGCTGCAGTGCTGGAGGCGAGAGGCCGACGAGAGGCACACCTTCGACTACCTGCAGTCCTTCCTGGAGGATTACTTCACCGCCACGGAGCCGCAGTACCAGCCTGGAGAAAACCTGTGACGGCACACGTGTGGGAGTGACATGGAGTGATAATGGAGCGCAGCCCCCCCCCCCCCCCCAGACACAGACAGATGTACGCTGACAGTCATATCGTAGTGCATTCACATTCGTTGTCGTACACTGTACATAGAGCGGCACTCTCAGTATACAAACATATCATTCCCTTGTCTTAATTGTTCAGGGACACTTTTTGTTTTCCTTCTTCGGCACCGCAGCCCGCTCAGGACAGCTCCGTCGACTGTGTTGAGGAGCAGAGTCGGAGCTCTGCTGCTCAGGCCTTGCAGTGATGTTGCTTTACTCTGTAACCATGACAACAAGGAACTGCAAGAAGATGTAGATGGTTGTGCTGAGGTGGGGGAAGTGGAGTTGGTACATGGTCTGTTCATCTACCACATACGTGCCTTTCTTTCTCCGAGGACAGTGTCATCACAGGGGACTAGCTCTTTACCTGAAGATATTTTATTGGTTTGTTTGTTTTAAGAAAAAGTAAACCCAGATCCAACAGGTTACTGTGCAAAAAAAAAAAAAAAAATGAACCCAGTGAACCTGAGCAGTAACTGGGTAGATTATGTATAGATGTGTCTGACAACCACTCTTATGTAAGCTTCATGTCTAACTACTGAAAAGAAAGGGGTTTGTTTTTAATGAAAAACAAAACTTTTATATTATTCAGAAAGAGAAGGTTTTGAACTTGAGCTAAGATGCATGTGTGTTCATGACACACCCTGAAGTGGTCAAACAAACGTCTGTTTCAGATTTTAAATATCATTTTTATACTCTGTTACCAAAGTCTGAGGAATGCTCTTTGTTTGACTAACCACTCACCACAGTGTTGTATGAACTGTTTCTGCTGTTGTTGTAATTTCCTCAGATATATGTCAGTGCACGGGGCCAGCACTTCTGCAGTGTAACCGTACAGTTACCATGTATACAGTGTCCTGCTGGTGGGAGGGCAGGGTGACATGTTACACACACACACACAGAGAAGGATTCTATTTTATTGTCTTAAGAAGAAAATGCTTCTGTTTAGATATCTCTGTCATGATATTATAATAAAGATTAATTTTCCTTCAAATTAAAGTGCAGGTCACGTCGGTGGTGCTCTTTAGGTGGTCATTGTTTTAAACAACATTTCACTTGTGGTCCATGTGGGGCAGATGCAGGCCTTTAGTGGTCCACACCTGGTCTTGAGGTAGCCAGAATGTGGGCCACATGTTGGGCCTAAATTAAACCACAGCAGTGAGCTTCTGCTGGACAAACTGAAACTTCCTGTTTTCAGATCCTGGTTCTTTGTTGTCTTTGTGCTTTGTTTCGAAAGTGACTGGTAAAACAGTTAAATACGCTTCCACTAGGTGGTAGCAGATGGTTCTTTTCTTTTTTTAAAGAAGATTTTCATGTATCTTTCTTCAATGTCTTCTAATATTCAGCCCTGTTGGCTGGTGTTCAACTAAACAGGCCCAGGTTTCACACTGAGGTAAACTGTAATATTCTGATCCATATACATTTGGTGGTGCACTGTGGGATTCTTTCTAGTGTAAAATATGTGGTCGTGGTGTGAAGAGGTTAGTAAGAACTCTGTTAAAGGACATTCCTGTGTTTTCCATAATAACGACTGGTGTAAAGTTTTTATGATTTTCCTGTAAATCAGTTCTGAAACAACAACAAAAAAAATACAAAGACATAAAAAGCAGAGCTTAAATGTAACAAATATAGTGTTAGGCTATAATATAAAACAGCTCACTGTCTTACTGGTAACCCAGACAACTATGTTTTATCCTCCTACAGTGTTGTATGAACTGTTTCTGCTGTTGTTGTAATTTCCTCAGATATATGTCAGTGCACGGGGCCAGCACTTCTGCAGTGTAACCGTACAGTTACCATGTATACAGTGTCCTGCTGGTGGGAGGGCAGGGTGACATGTTACACACACACACACAGAGAAGGATTCTATTTTATTGTCTTAAGAAGAAAATGCTTCTGTTTAGATATCTCTGTCATGATATTATAATAAAGATTAATTTTCCTTCAAATTAAAGTGCAGGTCACGTCGGTGGTGCTCTTTAGGTGGTCATTGTTTTAAACAACATTTCACTTGTGGTCCATGTGGGGCAGATGCAGGCCTTTAGTGGTCCACACCTGGTCTTGAGGTAGCCAGAATGTGGGCCACATGTTGGGCCTAAATTAAACCACAGCAGTGAGCTTCTGCTGGACAAACTGAAACTTCCTGTTTTCAGATCCTGGTTCTTTGTTGTCTTTGTGCTTTGTTTCGAAAGTGACTGGTAAAACAGTTAAATACGCTTCCACTAGGTGGTAGCAGATGGTTCTTTTCTTTTTTTAAAGAAGATTTTCATGTATCTTTCTTCAATGTCTTCTAATATTCAGCCCTGTTGGCTGGTGTTCAACTAAACAGGCCCAGGTTTCACACTGAGGTAAACTGTAATATTCTGATCCATATACATTTGGTGGTGCACTGTGGGATTCTTTCTAGTGTAAAATATGTGGTCGTGGTGTGAAGAGGTTAGTAAGAACTCTGTTAAAGGACATTCCTGTGTTTTCCATAATAACGACTGGTGTAAAGTTTTTATGATTTTCCTGTAAATCAGTTCTGAAACAACAACAAAAAAAATACAAAGACATAAAAAGCAGAGCTTAAATGTAACAAATATAGTGTTAGGCTATAATATAAAACAGCTCACTGTCTTACTGGTAACCCAGACAACTATGTTTTATCCTCCTACTCGTTTCTCTCTCTCTCTCTCTCTCTCTCCCTCCCCCCCCCCATCTCTCTCTCTCTCTCTCTTTCTTTCTCACCCTGGTCTCTGTCTTCTTCATTCACACTCTATTTCTATTCTGTCCTCCCTAAACTACTCCTCCCATGGTTCCTGGGGTGTAAAGTGAGTCCAGCTACGGGTGCCTGTGTGGTTTTGATACTCAGGCACGTTGGAGAGGCGCAGCAGAGACTGGGGCGCACCAGAGACAGAGCTGGAATCGCAGAGACACGGACGCACGGGCGCCCGCATACAGGGGAGTCCCGCTCCTGTGACCAGAACGAGAGGACGGGGCTGGAGCGCAGTCATGTCAGCGCCTCAGCCGGCCAGGAGATCGTGAACCAACGTCACTGACTGCAGTTTTTGCGAAAATCCCCACCGTTGACTGATTTGCTGTCACATCTTTTGTGGGTGCAGATATTGACGTGAGCCAGAGGAAAAGGAGGACGTTCACTGGAGACGCTGATGTCGGAGGACTGGCTCAGATGAAGGGGAAATGCTGGCAGCTGACGGCTGCAGCCGTCCACACTGCGGCTCCGTGACCTGGGAGAGGAGAGGAGCGAAGACCCGCCGCTGCTGCAGCCGCCGCCGCCGCCGCTGCTGCCGCCGACAGCCGCGCCAGTCAGCACTGACACCGCATCAGCTCCAGCTGCCAGCAGCGCCAACCTCCACTCTCTCTGTGCTCCTGGGTGAGTCTCTGTATCCACACACACACACACACACACACACACACACCGTCCAAAATGTTGAGAGTCCGCTCAGCCAGCTGTGCAGCACATCAGTGGGACTTTTTCAGCACATGATTCCTATCTGTTCCGTGAACGCCACGGTTGCGCACTGCCGGAGCTGGGGGTCATCTGGGCTTTACTGTAGGCAGGCACCGCGTACGTGTGGTCAGACCCAGATGTGATTGGACGTCGGTGTTCTGAACCCCCCTGTGTGACCCCCACCTGTGTACATGATGTGTCATCGGGGTATTCTTCATTCTCACTAAACACCATAGGAGAGCAACAGTGCACTGTGCTACACAAGTACACACACACACACACACACACACACCCTGTGGCTGAGTTTGATGGGACTTCTCTCATCATGAGTCCTTATGGCAGAGATGTGATGTTTGTGAGCCCGGCTCTTTATGACGGACAGATGTCTGCTTCAGAACAGGGCTGTGTGTGAGAGTGGGCTCAGTCTCCCCTCCGGCTGCCAGTCTGATTCTGAGCCATTAGGACTTTTTAAGGCAGGACACAGCAGCAGGAGCAGCAGCATCCTGCAGTGGCAACAGGGCTGCCGAGCTGGAGAGACACAGCATACTCATGGTGGTGATTATCAGCTCTTGTCTGGGGTTTTAGAGGCGGAGGAGTGTGCATGTGATTTGTGCGTGCGTGTGTGTGTGTAAGACAAAGGAAGGAAAGAGCTTAGGAGAACCTGGAAGAGAAGACGTGTGTGTGTGTGTGTGTGAGAGAGAGAGAGAGAGGGAAGTCAATGTCAGTGTCTGGGCACTGACAGTTGGTTATTTAAGGGCCCCCTCAGAGACGTGCACAGAGTGCCCTAGTGCAGGTGCTGTTGGTATGCAGAGTGATGCTTTGTCTGTCTGTCTGTCTGTCTGTCTCTCAGTTAGACAGTCTCACTCCCTCAGCAGCTGCTGGAGGAGTGAGTTCTCCTGTTGGCACGGCCACTTGGACGTAATGAATAATTTCAACTCTAAATGCTGGAATGAAAAAAGGAAACGGCCTTACCTTGGCATGAGGCCGCTCTGTCAGACTTGACTTGAGTGCTGATGCTTTGTCTTGTTTTTGTGTGTGTTTTTGTGTGTGTGTGCATATGCATGTGTGTGTGTTCCAACAGACAATGTGAACATATAAGAGCCCAGGCATACTGTGCCTCCTACCTGTAAGAGCGGGGCCAGTCGTCATAGCAACGGCCTTGTAGCTCCGTTGACGTTCCGCCTGTCCTCACTGGCAGGGTCAACACACCTCACACACAACAGTGTGTCTCAAAGCTCTGTGTGTGTTTGTGTGGAAAAAAAGTATCTTTTGTGTGTGCCCTTGTGTCGTTTCATAGGTGTTGTGGGCTGATGGCAAAGACGAGTCTTAAAGCTCTCTGTGTGTGTGTGTGTGTGTGCGCGCCTGTGCGTGTGTGTATTGCAGTGTCACACAGATACACCCTGCTGATGTGACAGCCAACAGATCAACCAATCATCTGTTTCCTCTCTCTGCCTATCAGCAGGAGGTTGCTGTAGTCAGACGTCCTCTTGATACGAGGTCGTCATGGAGATGGAGAAGACAGAATGGACCTTTTTGAATGTTTGCACACGCACACACACACACACACACACATATGTGTATATACACACAAAGGGACACACACATGAACACATGTTATACTGTGAGTGTTTCTTGACCTCCACTGTTGCAACAGGAAGTTTAACAGAGCTGCAACCTGTTGATGTTGGTGGAGAGCTGTGTTTGTCCTGGAGCGGGTTTGGACCTGAAAGTTAGTCCTTGTAAATATTAACCTGATGAACCTGTGTATTTTTCATTAATCTTAACTTCTGAAACGTTGATGATAACGTCTGCTTTAGTTGCACTTGTTAATTGGTTGTTACTGGAAACTTTTGATCGACCAATCACACGTCAACAACTGAGGTTGCTGCTGGTCTGAGGTTGTGGGTCATATTTCCTTAATACACTTTGGGCTCATCTCTGAGCGTTGGCTTAAATCCCACAACCTGAAAAAACTACACCTGAGTGAAAGCGGTTTCCTCGTCTCCTAATGCTTACCTCACCAGAAAATGTGCCGTGTCATCAGCAACGCACAAATCACCAACTAGCAGAACACACTCCTTACCATCTGCCTCTACCAAACCCACCAATGCAGATGAGGAGAATCAGAGAATCAACTTAATCAAATGTTTCTGGTTTAATGTGGGACAGATGTTCAAAGACCAGGCTGAGATGGTTTGGACCTGTTCTGGGCCTGAGACAGTGACTATATATATGAGACCAGGAGAGTTAGAGATGGAGCTGCCAGGCAGCAGATTCAGGAGATTCATGGTGTTGGTGGAGGAGGATGTGAAAATGGTTGGTGTAACGGCAGAGAAGGAGAGAAATAAATAAGATGGAGACGTATAGTCGGCTGTGGTGACCCCTGGAAGACGCAGCTTTGAGGTGTTCGCTGGAGACAAACCAGCAGCAGCTGAAGATCAACTTTAGTTTTCAGCATCCACCTGTCATTCAGCAGTCCTGTCGGACCGTTATTACTCAGCAGTTTGAAAGCTTCTCTGAACTGATCCAGGATCAGAGGCTTTCACACAGAATTTGCATCCATTCAGCTTGACAGAATCTGATTGGTTAGAGTGAGAGAGCTTTCTCCAATTGTCACGGAGACATTGTAAAACTCTCTAATTAAGATGCAAATGATCAGTGTTTTTAATATTAATTTGTGAAATCAGAGACGTTCTAAGTTCCTCTGTTGAAAAACGACCAAGTTTGAATGTTTTCTGAGCCTGGGTGCAGATCTTTACCAATGTTTTTAATCTATAATGTTCAATATTTTATATATTTTATATAGAATATTACAGGGTAAAAGCTCGAGAACTGACATTGTTTTTGTCCTTGTGTCAAATAAGCGTCTTCTTTTATCAGCGTCACACCCACACACATTCGGGGAGTCTGAGGCTCAGTTCACCATGGGGTTGTGGGTTTGAATCCAGACTGTTTGTCTAAAAGCCCTGGCCCTCTGTGGGTGGAGGTGCAAACCTGTAGCATAAATTCCGTTGAGTGGTCAGCGGGCCGAGGAGAGGGCCGGACACTGGCAGAGCAGACCATTCACACACACAAACACAAGGCGACGCGCACACACTCACTCATACACCTCAACCATTTAGCGTTAGTGTAAGCAGCACTTGTATGCTCCATTCTGTCACCTCCCACACAATACATTCATAAAACGTCTCCTCCTAGCCAAAGGCACCGCTTCAATAGAAAACATCTCTCTTTCTCTTTCCTCCTGCCTCCTCCTCTCCTTCTTCCTGCCACCCCTCCTCCTCCTCCTCTGTATCTGTCATTTAGTCAGTCCCATCCTCTGCTTCTTCTTTTTTTTCCTCCCCATCTTACTTCTACTTGTCCTTCCTCACCCTCTCCCCACTTCCACCTCCCACCCAGGGGCTGGCTGCAGCCGGTTTTAGTCCGACAGCGGAGAGGAAGCTTTGACCTCTCACCTCCGGAGGGTTGTGGGAGGGAGGCAAGAGTGGAGGGATGATGGAGGTCAGAGGGGTGGAGAGATGCAGTGGAGCTGGAGGGGGGTGAGGGGGGTGAGGGGTGGGGGACACAGGAGGGATTTCTTGAGAAAGATGGAGAGGAGGAGAACAGTGAGGAGGGGGCCTACAGAGAAGAATTGGAGAGGACAGAGGGGTCAGGGAGGAAAAAGTGATAAATGAAGGGAGAGTGGCGGGATGGAAGGATGAAAAGGGTGAGGTAGAGCGTGTGGAGAGGATGAGAAGGAGAGGGAGACAGAGTGTGAAGCTGCTGTGTACCTCCCTAACAAGCTGGACAGAATCAGCTCAATTATTAAAGAGGAGCGAGAGATGGGGAAAACACGCAGACATACAAATGTACGAAGAGCAGAATCTCTGTCTGGCACACACACACACACACAGAGAGAGAGCGAGAGAGAGACACACACACCAACACACTCTCACATGTACAGTACAGTACGTCTGATTTTGCTGCTGTTTCACGCTTGTGCGTCAGAGTTATCTGTGTTTTAGCGGCGGTGTCTGGGTATGTGTGTTGAAAACAGTGAGTCAGAGGATAAGCAGAGACTTGTTAGTGATTCTCCTCAACACCCTCCTCCCCCCAACACACACACACACACACACCATCAGCACCACCACCACCAGCACCATCACCATCACCTCACTCCACCGTCTAATTTGGCTTCACAACTCTGTCAGCGTTCCAGCGCCGCGGCTTGAACGCCGTCCTGTCAATATGAACAGATAATCAGAGCACTCAGAGGTCTGTCTATAAACCCCCATGGTGAATGGAGTTTTTCAGCCCCTCTCCTCCCTCCCCTCCTCCCTCTCCTCCTCCTCCTCTTCCTCCGTCTTGCCCATTCCACCCTCGTTTCTAGTTCTCCCTTTTTCTTTCCCTTCTCTCCCTCCTTCTCGGGGAGGAAGCGTTGCCCCCGAGGGACGAAAAAGATTCGCTACCTTCCAGGAGAGAAAGAGATCATGTGTGTTTCGGTGTGTGTGTGCGCGCGCATGTGTGAATGTGTGTCCTCATTGTGTGTTACGAGTGAGAACACATACTTCCTGAGACCGAGAAGAAGAAAGGGGGAGACGGGGAGGAACAAGTGAAGGGGGAGTGAAAGCAGAAGGATGTGGAGGGGGGAGGAGGGGGGAGGAAGAGATAAGAGAGGAAGACAGAGAGTAGTCGGGAAGAAGGGGAAGATGGATGAATGCTGTGTGCAGCGACTGTGTGTGTGTGTGTGTGTGTGTGTGTGTGATGGTGCAGGTAGACAGTGAGGAACTGAAGTGTTAACTCTCAGCACAAGTCATAATTTCTTAGGATGTGTGCAGATGAGTCTGAGTGTGAGTGTGTGTGTGTTTGTGCACTCACCTGAGTGTGTTTGAGTGTGTTACCTGGTCCAGGCTGGAGGCCAAGAACCAGAGAGCTCCACTGTT